CATATCAAAACATTTCATTGGAAATGTATTGGCATATACCTAATGTTTATTAGTTTGCACGCATATAAAACACCCTGTTGCCAGAAACAATGTTTATTGTAGACGAATGTTGTTAAAGTTGTTGTTTTTAAAACTGAATCTTAATTAACAATAATACTTAGGTAATTCTATCTCGTTACTTCCCGATTCCGAAAGGAATAGGACTGTTTTTCACATTTTATGCTTAATATAAAACAGATAAGTAGGTGTAAAAACCTCCCATCCGGAAAAGAGAGAATTTTTACCCAAAACCAACGAGCTGCAAACGGCAGCGGCCATTTTTGCATATGATCTGGCAAATTATTAACGTAATTACGCTCGCAATCACCGGCTAACGAAGGCGCGGACTTTGTTATGCTTACCAGAGCTACCCTGAAAAATACGAATAAAACGCGTGGGAAAGTTGTTAGCGTATGTTTCGGTTTACCTACACGTGTCCATAAATACACGCTTAAATACCTACATTTTGACTTGATGATCGTTTCATTTAGTTACTTTACTTTTCCACTATACCTACATGAGTTCGCCCTCTCTGACACACAGCCTGTATATCAGTTAAATGACAAAAAAATATAACTATAATATCCACTGTCCCTAAACCTAATGGCCATAACAACGAGCCTCTAATTTTAAGTAACAAGGTCAAACAAATACTTAGGTACAAATGTGCTTTAGCTGTGTGCAAATAATCCTTCTAAGAAATAGTGCTTCTCGCACAATTGTCTTAAGATTAAGACCCCAAGTCTTAAAGAGGCGTCTAATCCAGGCAAGCGGCACTGTCGGGTTTCGCGCTCCATAACATGCGACCGCCCTAATTAACTCCGCCAAAAACGCCCTTGTGTGGTCAGCGCGTTAGCGACGCAGGGCTGGGCGTTTCGGCTGTTCGGCTGTTTACCGGATAAAACAGATGCTGTGACTTTCGACCATAGAAGATTGAAAGTTCCTTTGCATGCATGTCATTAGATTTCGTTGTCTTAAATGATAACGGTAGGTACTGCTCTCTACATCTCTATTTCGAGGAAACAATTGCCTACTTAATTAAAAACTGTGATAGTGTGATTTTTCTTGAAAGGTCGATGGTATGAAACTGTCATGTTGCCAAAAGTAACCGTTACATGGATGGAGTAAAAGTTTTTGCTCTGTCAAAAGTAGGAAGTAACTACTCGTACCTAGTACCCAATCTCTTACAAAGTTTTATCTTGAAGGCTGATGAAAGAAAGTTTGTAGCCTAGAACTACTATAGCGTCTGCATCATGGGACTACTATCCTGACTTACCAAAACATATTTCGGCTGAAAATCCCTTGACATTCTTACACAGCACTAAACTGTTTATGCGATTAGGAAAACAGGCCTTGAGTCCAAGAAATAAGGCGACGTGTGCACTACCGACCTGATTTCCCCTGGGCTTGATTGCCGCAACTTAGGACGAGTTTAATATTTGTCGGGATTAGCTATTTTTAAGAAACCGAATGGAGTCCTTCTTCTAGCGATGGATAAGGAACAACAAAAAGTTTGTGTCTAGTTGGGAATACAAAAATATTTGGTTTTCACACTTTTTATGAGGCGTGATCGAATCAGAAATGAGGAGATCCGCAGGAGAACCAAAGTAACCGACATAGCCCGCAGAATTGCTAAAATCAAGTGGCAGTGGGCGGGGCACATAGCTCGTAGAGACGATGGCCGTTGAGGCAGGAAAGTTCTCGAGTGGCGACCACGGGCTGGAAGACGTAGCGTGGGCAGGCCTCCTACTAGGTGGACCGACGATCTGGTAAAGGTCGCGGGAAGAGCCTGGATGCGGGCAGCGCAGGACCGTTCATTGTGGAAAACCTTGGGGGAGGCCTTTGTCCAGCAGTGGACGTCATTTGGCTGAAACGAACGATGAGGCATTTTATGTAACTTACCTACTTTTGGTATAAGGAGGACTTTAACTGTCATTATTTAGGTAGGAAATTCTTCTTCTTCTCAGTCGTTTCGCTCTTAGCAGAGCGGTCGTGGTCATGTTGAGGCGTCCACATAGGAAAGTAGTAGATAGAATAAAATTAATCATCTATTGCCACCATTTGATTCATCTTTGATCATCGCCGATTTTATTTTTGTTTAAACCACATTTTACTCGGATTCGGTTAGATCCACCCGCGTTTTCGGAAAGATCGATCTCAACTCAAAACAAGTCACACGTCGCAACAAATCTAATTTACATGTTAGGAAACCACTCGACTACTTAACTAACAACTCGTTAGCTGTTTTGGGCTGACTTCAATTAAAACCCCACATAAGTTTATGTACTTAGCCTGGTCCGGGCAAATTCCCGCCAAAATAAAAACAAAATGGCGGCTCATTACTCGACACACGGTAATCCAATCTAGCTGATTCGTTGACCCTTGCCTCGTCCACCCCTTGCCTTCTATTTATTTTTCGAATATCAAAGGATGCGGGATTGCGAGACCGGTAAATATGTAAGTACCTACACTCTACAAACTAATTTCAGATTAAGAGTGCTCCTACTCGTCGTATAGTTCACTATCAGAAAGAAGCGCTTGTTAGTAATTTTTTTGATAATCATCTTGGTTTAAATCTTGGTTGGTATTTTACCTAGGTACTCATAATACCATTTATCTGTGATAATACCAACGATACATTCCTTAAGTCTGGGTCAAAAAGACCCATTTTGTGACTAGCTAAAAATTATTTTTTCCTAAGGGATTTTAAAAGAAGGTAGGTAAATTATTTCGTTTCGTTTAAAATTTTAGTCGTTGCGCTCGCAAGATGCAGGAGCCTGTAATGTAATGTAAGTAGGTATAGGTGCCTAGCCTCTGGAGATCTCCACAATACTAATGACACATCACAGTGCGGGTGAACCTCTGGATGAAAGGCGAATAAAACGAGCTAACGGGCTTTGATGAAATTCAACAACAATCTCTTTGGAAGCCACGAGTCCTTGACTCCAAAGCAAAGCTAACGAGTAAAATCCTGTGTGTATGCAGACGAGGACATTCGTTAAACTGAGTTGAATTCTAAAAATGATCAGCCCACTTCAGATAACTAAGTACTTATGGAATAGGAATTTATCCGCTTTCATTAGGATATTTGAAAAATTTATACATAACTTGTAAATATTTGCGGCCGAAAATTACATAAGTGGTGGTGGGTTAGGTAATATAATTATATTCATCCCTTTCTTATATGGGTCATTCCATAAAAATCTGTATATTTTCGACGTCATTTTGTCCGTAACTTTTTTAAGATGCTTTTGAATACTTTATTAGTGTAAATTATTGTTTATTAATTAATTATGTTATGTCTAAAAGGGCCAGTCACTTTATGCTTTATTTTAGGAGAAATTATAATTTTCAATTTTTTCATACTACATTACTCCTATATGACTTCTAATAAAGTATAAAACTTTTAACCTTAACATTTATAGATAAGTTAATACACATAATGTAGTTGTTTTGTTATTATCACTATATAAAAAACATCATTCCCTAACTAGTAATTTAGTCCCAAGTGCCATTTAAAGCTAGGGCCTGACGCTCTAGGGACTGACAATTTGGAGTAAAACTTAACACAAATGCAGATTAACTTTATATTATAAGATGCTTAATACCATGTGCCGAAAATAGCCAAAAAACTACACGTAAATAATATACTATTAAATTATATACAATTTCCTATTATAATCAATAAAGCTACTCAACTAGGGACTGACGAAGTGACTGGATTAACACATGTTTCGGTAACAACTGTCACGTTTGCACTAATTCAAAAAACGGCTACCGCAAAGCCAGTATGGTCTGAGGATAACTTCGTATCGTACTTTAAACTCAACTAAATGTCATTCACTCTAAATACATATTAAAGCGCAAAATTATAAAATCAGTGCGTGGCGAGGGAATGACGCTAAAAACTGTAGACTCTTTTTCAACTAAAGAAAATCAAATTATTGTTTATTGAAACCGCAAAATATTAATAGAATTTGGTGTAATATACATTTAAATAGATTATTCGTTAATTAAAACAAAGGATAAAGTTGATGTTTTTATAAATGTGGGTCCCAAAACACAAACTTTTGGAGTACGGACATGCCTAGGGAATGACGTTTTGGGTCATTCAAAAGGAATTTAAGATGTTTTAAAAATAGTTTTAAAAAATATAAATGGGTGATAAATAAAGCACATTGCGAGCTGTTATTTAACAATTTTGGAATAAAATATTAACAAATATTTCATGTGAAATGTGGCGCGGACTAAGAGTTGACATATTTTTGTGGAATGACCCATATCACAAACTACTTTTCGGTCCTCGATCGAATGCTATGCGTATTGGTCGGAAAAAATGTTTCGGTTCTGAAAATACACAACAAAACGCGAACTTTTTCTTATCTGTAACCATCACCACTGTCAAATGTCATTTTGACACCTCGCTGTCACGCACCAGCCAGTGTTGCCACCTTGGTGGTTTTACCACCAGAACTAGCGCTTTTTCGAGGCTCTTTGTGGTATGTTTTCATTATTTACCTAGGGTTCAGAACGGTTTTTAGCGGTTTTTCCGTATGGAATTGAACATATTTTTGAAAGGGAAACCCGCCAACTTTCCGGAATGTATAATATTCTAAATTAAATGTTTTGTAGGTATGCATAGATGCATACCTACAAAACATTTAATTTTGCTTGTACATTTTCCACGAATATAAGACCCATAAAAGTCAAGACCGAACTGCCTGGAGATGCAATGCATGACGCGGAGAGCCGACCCCAAATAAATGGGAATGGGACAGACAAAGAAGAATAAGATCCATAAAAGTTGTTCGCATTTCAGTTTGTATTAAATACTTAATTAATTATTTTTTTCTAAACATCGATCGCTGAGTAGCTCAGCGGAATTTGGTAATGTTTGTTTGTTAGGTCCAATCCAAGTGCTTTAATAAAATCCGAGGTGGCAACACTGGCACCAGCTGCTAAATTGACATATTTGACATTGACAAGTTTTTGTGTTCATTCATTACGGAACATTTCGCATCGCATTTGATTTTGCAAACAATACGAATACGCAACAGTACGAATTATGGCGTTAAGTTATTTATCCGAGGGCGAAGCGCCCCGGGACTTCAAGGTGTCGTCGACGGAGAGTGATGGCCATTACACCAAGTGCCTCCTTTGTTATACGGTTAAGAGGAACTTCTACTGCCAGGACTGCATAAAGACAGGCAGCTTCGTACATTCATCGATGCCCTACTCAGACAGGTAGTTGACCAGCTTCCATCATACAATTACTTGTAGAGATTTCGTAATGATAACTTAGTTTCATCATGAATTGAAGTCCATTCATTGTCAATCAAGATTATAGTCAAATTTCGTGGCCCGCCAGTTGAGACCGTCCATATGCTATTAACGTAACATTAATTACGTATTAAGTTATTCGAATTTAATGACAGGAAATATTATCTCGGTATATGTACACAAAAGGTATTGGTCAAATTTACATTGATGATTGTTTACAGATTATTTGTTTACTGCATCTAGTGGAAAACTTTGCAACCCAAGTGATATTATTTTACAATCTAACGAGGCACAAATTATTGTGTATTCATTTCAGATACTCAGAAAAACAAGCAAAATTACTCAGACTGAAAGCAAACAGAAAACACATATTGGACAGATGTGAAAAACTATTATCAGGGAAAATAAAGAAGGACAACTTACTGACGGAGGCCAAACAATCCCGAGACAGACTTGACTTACTGCGGTTAGCGATAGAGCAGCGCAAGAACAACATTGACGAAAAGAAAAAAGAATTGTTAAATTTAAAACAGCAGAACCATGATTTGAGTATGAAACTGCCGCGGTACCAGAAGCGGGTGTCACTGCTGGGCAAGCACGCCCAGGAGCAGCAGATGGAGCTGCAGAACCGGATGAGCCGCTACAGCGAGCAGGCCGACCAGCTGGCCGCGCTCCGGCGCTCGCGGATAAGGCAGCTCACTAAGTACATATTCCCAGTTTACATAAGCTATGATACAAGGTGAGTGGATATTTGCAGTGGCTATTATACTTATATTGATTTAATTTGATTTTGAAATTAACTGTTTGCTAATGCTGTAAAAAATGCTCCATGAAGAAGGCACAGAGATTAATTAATAATTATCACATTATAAAGACCAGAGTTAAAAAGATCAGGAATAAATAACAGCAAATGAAAAGACAGGAAATAAATCAATCAAACCATTTCACACACCATTCCAGACACTCATTTATTTACTTAGAGATTCTTACACTGTATCAAGATATTTTATCATTATGTCCATAACGCCCCCTGTTGCGCGCCTTCTTGACTGGTAGCCTCAATATGGTCCCGGTCAAGAGGGCGCGCAATCCGCAATCTTCATCGTGTGTTGGTTCCCGCTAAAAAACCAGCTTCTCGACATGGCGCTTGTTATGTCGCGAATATAGCTGAGCGGACGCCTCTTCAGCATAGCTTGTAGTTTAATGTTATATGTACTGTATTTTTATTTTATTTTTCTATGCTGAATAAAGTATTCTTATTATTTTAAATATGTTCCTGTACTGTTCCAGTGACAGTATCGAGGACATGGAGTTTGTAGGGGAGGACGCGGAGGAGGAGGCTCCGTGCCGCTCGCAACTGCACATCGTGGCGCCGTGGGTCAGCGCCGACGGCGACCTGGCGCACGTGCAGTCTTGGCGTGAGTACAGCCGCTGCTATCTTACCAAAGCCTATTAGAAATGCTCTATGTGAGAAGCCACACGGTAACATTTTCCCGCATCACATGTGGTATGCGACGCCGCAATACGGCACCGTCTCGCTCAATCGAAGTGCGGTGTGCCTGTGGTGCGGCGCCGGAACGCACCGTCGGGCATATCATTGATTTTTATATGCAGGAGGCCGCAGCGACATTGCTCCGGCGCCGCGCCGCGACCGCACCGCACTGTGTGGCTTCTCGTGGCGAAAATGCTTTGTTGTTGTTTGAATAATAATGAATCTGTTTCGAATTATTGCTCTATTTATGAGAAGCATATAGGTTAACAGGATTACTGGGTCTTTAGTCCTATGATAGATTTTCTGGCAATGATGGTTACCTCGCAAAACGCCTATCGAAAACCATTGCGAAATAAAAACTACAACAGTCGCCTCTTTGATACAAAGCTCATCAAAGCTGTCTCAATTTTCTGTCGTTTTCATTAATCGCCGAGCAAGGAAAGTATTTTAACTTTGGTTCCATCTGTGTTACATTAAACTTATGCAATGTTAATGTGGCGACATCTATCGACGCACCGCTACAGACTAGTGGTAGTCATCACCCAATAGATGGCGCTGACACATGCAATGACTGGCATACGCTCATAAACTTGCATCGCGGTGTCAAGAGTTTTCTCACCTATTAGTTTCTTGCGCTGCTCGTTCTCAGGCACTGGCCCATTTATTGTCCTAAAGCTGGCTGCATTTTAAAAGCCTACTTTCATAAATTTCGTAATTATGTCGGCGCCGGACACAGATGCTGCAAATTATTATTGATGATTAATAGTAGAAATCTTAATATTATGTTATCTGTATAAATCTGTAGAACGGAAGTTTTGTGGTTTTTAAACGTAACACCGACTGATGCGTAGAAAAAGGTAACGGTCAATCAGTTGTGTCATGTCAAGAGGTTACGAAGTTATCTAAGCGTATTGAGTTTGGTGGAACGTTAAACTGTAGTTAAAGTGATTGTCAACCATCTAACATATTATCTCCTTGCCCGCTAACCCACGCCAATGGAGATTCCACCCCTAGAGCTCCTGATAGAGACCCCGTGCCTTTAAATAAATGAATTATTTTTAAGGTTCGGCCAAACCAACGCGATCACACGCGATCAGCCGGCGTGCAGCGATGGCGACAACACTAAAATGCATTGATCGCCATCGCTGCACGCCGGCTGATTGCGTGTGATCGCGTTTATTTGGCCGAATCTTTAGTTTCTTGTGCTGCTCGTTCTCAGGCACTGGCCCATTTATTGTTTAAGAGTAGGCGCACATCGTTGATTTTTTGTCGGCCGATAGTTTAGTCGGGTAGTTGATCAGTATGGACATGTATGGGAGTGCGCACACTACGCCGATTCGATTAGGCCGATTCTTTATACAAATTAAAATCGGGCACAACTATCGGCCAACTAAAAATCAACGGTGTGCGCCTACTCTTAAAGCTTGCTGCATTTTAAAAGTCTACTTTCATAAATTTCATAAATACCTAAATGAGTTTTTTTAATGTGGTGTTCCTGTGCACAGTAGTACAGAACAAAGAGGCGGTGGGCGCGGGCGCTGGCGCGGGCGCGTGGAACCCGCTGCACCGCACGCAGGCGGCGCTGGCGCTGGCGGCGCAGCTGGCCGCGCTGCTGGCCTGGACCATCGACATGCGCCCGCCGCACACCATCTCGCTCAGGTATGGCGCATTTTCATTAGTTGATAACTCGTTCGGTATACAGCATGCGGGGACTCTCCGCATGCGAGATAACGACCAATGAAAGTTGCAAGTCGATACGCGTTCGGGGATCATTATCCCCGCATGCATTATACCGACCGTGCTATCGACCAATGAAATTCATCACTCGATATACAGCTTGCTTGCGGGTCTTGAGTCAATATTTCATACGTGTGCTTGTTGGATTAGAACCTGTGGCATGCGTTCCAGAAATCTCCGGCACGCCGCATGCGGACCCTATCGACGCACGCAGATCACTGAAACTCGCGTTTAAAAAGAACTCGCTACACATCCTCGCAGCACCGCTCATCTTCCTATCTTCCTAACACATCCTTGTGGAAACGCAGCCTAAAGGCTAACGTCCACATGTCGGTATCGTACGCATCGGACGTATGTATTGCACGCAACGGATCGTAGTATTATTTATATGGAAACTCATATAAGTGCGTCCACCTGTCCACATCGTACGGATCGCACATCCGATGTGTTTTGTACGATGCGTCCGTTGCGTACGATACCGACAAGTGGACACTTAGCTTTATTCGGCACATTATATCCATCCGTCTAAGGGAGAAGCCACACGGTGCGGTTAAAAATGATATGCCAAACGGTGCGTTCCGGTGCCGCACCGCAGGCACACCGCACTTCGATTGAGCGAGACGGTGCCGTTGCGGCGCCGCATACCATATGATGTGTACAGTGATGCGGCAAAATGTTTGCGGCGTCGCACCGCACAGTGCGAGTTCTCTTTAAGAGTTTTGGACTCCGCCCGTTGAAAATTTACCTTCAACCGCCTCTGTGGTCGTGGTAAGACCATCTGCTACAGACGCAGAGGTCCCGGGTTCGATTCCCAGTGGAGGCAGGTTTTTCTGTTCGGTTTGGTTGTGGTAGGGCTTGTTCTAAGTCCGTCTGACTAGCTACCACCATCTTACGTAAGTCTGTCGCCATAACAACAATGTTAACAGTATTGTTGTGTTCCGGCAGTTCGAGGTAAGATAGCCAGTTCCTTCGTGGTTGAGGATTCCGGGTGAAGCTCGCTTCCACCTTCGGCCTGATCATCACTTACCATCAGGTGAATATAGGCCAAGAGCTTCCCCGTTGTGGATAAAAAAAAACACATCACACTATTCGGCACATTGCATCCATTCGTCTACAAGCTTTGGGCTCCGCTCACTGAAATTCTGCGTGCATTGTTTTTAGCCATCTGACAAATGTATATTTTCCCCTGGCAGCGAGTACAGCAGCTGGCGCGGCGGGGGCGCGGCGCTGTCGGCGCGCTGGCGGCGGCTGGCGGGCGCGGGCGCGGCGCTGTGCTGGCGGGGGNTCCTTAAACCCTGGATCACCCCAGGTCTATTGAGGTGTATCCAAAACAGGGATAACATGCACAAAAGACTCAGAAATGAGCCTAACAATGAAATCCTTCGTAAGACCTATATTCGCTACCGTAACTTTTGTAACTCTTTACTTAAAAAAATCAAAATTGCACATGACAGGAATCTCATTGTTAAGGCGGGTTCTAATAACAAAAGACTATGGAACGCCATCAAAGAAGTTTCTAATATCAAAAAAATAAACTCAAGTTCTACCGACCTCCTTTCTTGTATGCCCACTCCAAATCAAGCTGTTGAGCACGTTAACTCTTTCTTCGCAGGCATTGGTAGGTCCCTCGCCGAAGAAATTCTCTCAAATAATTCCGGTCCTCCCTCCTCTTCTCCTACACCTCCTGTTTCTTCTTCGTCTTCTGCCTGTCAATCTTTCGTTCTCCTGAGTGCCTCTACCGCAGAGGTTGAAACCCTTCTATTATCCCTCAGGGAGGAGTGCGCAGTTGGTTGGGATAATATCCCTACCACCCTCTTGAGGCGCTGTAAAGACCAGCTAGTCCCTCCTNGTTGGGATAATATCCCTACCACCCTCTTGAGGCGCTGTAAGGACCAGCTAGTCCCTCCTATTGCACACATCTGCAACCTCTGCCTTTCCTCAGGTTGCTTTCCGGATGCTTTTAAAAAGGCACTAGTTCACCCAATCTACAAGTCTGGGGATCGAAACCGTGTCAATAACTACCGTCCTATATCGGTTCTGCCAGCCTTGTCGAAAATCTTAGAGCGGTTAATAAACAACAGACTGATCAAATTCATTGAGGAGCGGGATTTCTTGTCTCCTGGTCAACACGGCTTTAGACAGGGTAAATCTACAGCTGATGCGGNGGCGCGGGCGCGGCGCTGTGCTGGCGGGGGGGCGTGGCCGCGCCCACCGCGCCGCACGCGCTGGCTGCGCTGCACGCGCTCGCACGCGCCGCTAGCGCCGACGACGCCATGCTCGGACGGTGAGTACAGGCACAGAATAATAATAAGTACTACCACAGAATAATAATAAGTACTACGTACAGAAGTTTTACTTCGCGAAGGTATTTAAAAAAAATATGCTCAATGTCATTAACAATATGGTGTAATTTAGCCTGTCTCAAGAGTCAAGCACCATTTTGTTGACAAACGTCAGTGATCGCATTCTTGGCCCCACGCTTTTCCTGGTGTACATCAACGATCTCTGCTCCCTTCCCATCCCAAACTGTAAAGTTATTTCCTTTGCCGATGACACAGCCCTCGTATTTGCAGCCGACTCATGGGGTGACACTTTCCGGCGAGCACAGTCTGGATTTCACCAAGTCTCCTTATGGTTACAAAAAAACCTTCTAACGCTCAACGTAAAAAAAACCCATTATATTACGTTCTCTATTAAGAAAATCCCAACAAATACCCTTAGTGGTCTTCGATTAATTGCCCATACTCACCCCCTTCTATCTGACCTACCTTGTAACTGTTCACCACTGTCTTCGACTGATGAAATTAAATATCTAGGCATAACTATAGATTCGAGACTAACTTTTAAATCCCATATCGTAGCTACAGCCGGGAGACTCCGCAAGCTTATGTTTGTCTTTCGTAGGCTTCGCCACGTAGCAGACCCCAGCCTTGTCAGGACAGTCTATGTAGCCCTCTGCCAGTCACTTTTGATTTATTGCATAACCTCTTGGGGAGGTGCCTGCAAGACTGTCCTGATAAAGCTGGAACGAGCTCAAAGGGCCATCCTTAAAATTTGCACCTTCAAACCGCTGCTTTTCCCTACGTATGAGCTCTTCCAATACTGCCAAGTTTTAACCGTCCGCCAACTCTTCATCTTGTATATTGTCTTAAAACAACACCATCTAGCAAATTTCGATCCCTCTGTTGTCCGACGTAATCACCTGGTAGTTCCGTCTTCTTCTTTTAAAACTTACTTCTCTCATCGCTTCTACTGTTTCTTGGGTCCTTCTTTGTATAATGCTCTTCACCATAATTTAGATCTCCACTCCTTGCCAAAATTTTATTGTAAGTACAAGGTCTCAAATTACTTGCAATCCTTGACGTATGCTGAAACGGAAAACCTGCTTCAACCAATTAGGTAACTGTAATATGGGCAGATGGTTCATTACTAACACACACGCACACTCACTCACATACACCTACATTCTCACTCACATACACTCACACTTACATACACCTACACACACATACACTCACACTCTCATTACACTCACTCTCACATCACTTACACTTCACCTTATACACACTCTCTTTCAATACTCGTCTAGTTTTTGTCTAGTTTTAAAATAACTTTAATAAATTCTATGTGCTCCGGCCATTATCGAGAGAGGAGAGTACTGGCGCTCTGTAGTACAGGCTTCTCGCCTAGTTCAGACTCCAGTTCTCTCACAATCTTACCCTGTTCAATTAGTACATAGCAATTTGTGTTTCACTGTATTATTGGATTGTGAAAGAAAGAAATAAATGCTTTTTTTTTTTTATTATTATTATTTTGAGTTGTTTTAAATTCTCAGCATTTTATGCTGGTATTAATGTTATCCACGGGTCGAGACCAAGTGGATAGCATTGATATGATGTTTAATTTAGTACTCGTTACATGTGGAGCGCGCGTCGGCTAAAAATTTTCGGGTGATTCGGCATGAATTTAAAATAACAGCTTTCTGCATTAAGTGATATGAGTTGCTTTTTAATTTGAGGATGTCCAGGTTCTTTATTAAGGATTTGGGTATTACGCCTGTTGCTGATAGTACTATGGGGATTATATGGACTGATTTTACTTTCCACTGTATTTTTAATTGTATGGCTAGATCTGTATATTTTGTGAGCTTTTCATTAATTGTGCTTTGTATGTTATGGGTATTCGGTACTGCAATATCTATAAGGTATACTATATTCTGTTCTTTATCGTGGATGGTAATATCGGGCCTGTTGTAATGAGTTGTCCTATCGGTTAAAATTGTGCGGTCCCAGTAAATTTTGTGCTTTCTATTGTCTAGTACTGGTGGCGGTTTGTATTTGTAATAAGGTGTCTTTTGATTGATAAAATTGTATTGGTGTGCTAGATATTATAACTGCGCACAGCGCCATCTATTTATTTTGGCAAGAACTACAAGACAAGGTTTTTGACCAATACGTACAGCCTTAAAAGTACTTACAAGAAAACATAGATGTCACTGTGCACTTTTGCATCGCGTTAGCAAAGTTTTTTCAGTGGCTTACTTAAGGTTTGATAAAGTATTCATCAGTCACCAGTTAATTTATTTCTAGTCATGTAAGATCCAGTAAGGTTTAAGGTGTACTTAAATGCATTGCTAGGCTATACAATAGACGAAATAATATAAGGAGTAGATATATTATATTTTTGTAAGCGCTATTGCGCTAAAATACGAACTAAAGTCCTTGCTAAGTACGGGATTCGAAAAATATGGATAAGTTGAGTGTACGCTGTTTTTTGAGTGGCCTATCAAAACATATTTACAAAATATGCGCCATATAACGGAATTTATTATACCTACTACAGCTTTACATTTCCTAATACTATATTGGAATTCTATAAAATTCTTAGGAACTGTATACATTTCCTAGGAATTATGTGCGTAACACCTTCGCTGCCAGGCTAAAAATGGCACTGTTCCGTTCGGGCCATGGGGGACAATGATGGGCGACACTTTAACTTTCCGTTCGGGCCGCGTCGGACAATGATGACCGCGAGTCAGACCTATGTTGAAACCTCTNATGGAGCACCTGGTTCTTGTCACCCTTCAACGGCCAAGTCACACAGCATTAACTATAATAATAAAGAAATCGCAGTAAGGAACCATAGACTTGGCACGACTTTGTCTAGATTTCATTACTTTTTAGAGATAAACAAGCAGCTCCATCGAGACTTGGCTAGTTTTTTACAGAATGTTTTTGGTGGGATTAAATATACAATAAATACTTAGGTATTTATTCCATGAAGTTTATTTAGACAAAACATAAGAAACAAATAAATGAACGACACTTCCTTTTTATTTATTATTTTTTTCAATCTCGTTTATGACATGCCACTGAAAAATATGTAGAGACCAATGAACGAATGCATTTATTTACATAATGTGTTTATTTATTTTTTTAGATACCTATTCATGTACGAAATTGGAAGTTAATAATTTAATGAATAGGTCTGATTAACCGCTCATTACGATATTATATTATTCCGCGTGTATATTTCTAAAATATAAAAATGGTAGAGTTAAGACGATTTTTAGTACACTCAGTGAGCATTATTAATAGTTCAATATAATTAAGATTGATAAATTATTTTTTAATTGGTTGGACGTTAGAATGAAGGAATTACGGCTATTTATATACGTGGGGAAATTTAACTGCCTCTGTGGTCTAGTGGTAACCTAGCTCGAGACTCAGAAGTCCCTGGTTCGTGGTTCCAGTGGGAGGAAATTTTTTTTTGCACAGTTTGGTTGGTGATAGAGCTGGTTCTAAGTCCGGATAGCTAGCTACCACCATCTTAGTTAAGTTTATCGCCTAACTTAACTACATTAACAGCATTGTTGGTGTTTAGAGAGTGGAGGTAAGATAGACAGTTCCTCTGAGGTTGAGGATTCCGTTTGAAGCTCGCTTGCAACTTACGCCCGTATTCACAAACTTACTATGAGGTCTCACAGTGCGAGTGGACGCACAGGATGACACATGAACCAATCACAGAGCTCTATTCAACGCTGTGCGTCCGATTTGCTGCTTCACTTAAGCAAGCATCGTTTGTGAATACGGGCGTTAGGCCTGATCATCACTTTCCATCAGGTATGGCAACTGGCAGGACAGGTGCTTCGTCAAAAATAAAAAAATATTAAAATATATTCTCAAACGCGTATTAATATAGCACGTAACATCTCAAAAGAGAGCTCATCCAAAAAGAGTGCTCTTTGACTACCTTATTTACGAAGTGACTGTCTATTTTATTTTCGCGCAAATATAAACCCTAACCACAACACAATAAGGGCGCGTCTCGCCGAATGTTACACGGAAATCGATCTCGTCTGCTATTTCATTTGTAAAGAGAAGTAAGATGTGAATATGAAATTGAAACGCAAACAATAACATATTAATATTTAATTAAATTGCATAATTAATTAATGAAGTGCGACGTCAGTTTTTTGGAATATAATTTTATATTCCAAAAAAACTGGCTGTATTTATTTACATTCAAAGTTGGTACTTACTGGAGAGTAATACTGTTATAGAAATATACATTAGAGATAAAATATCTCTGATGTATATTTTTACACTTCTATCTACGATCGAACTCGCGCGATCTCTGAACTCAAATCTCTAGTGTAGAAGTGGGTATTAATCATTTATCAATACACTTGGTATTAAATAATTATGGGCATATAAATGGTATGGTGAAGTCAGAAATTTGATATTATCATTTTAATATTATTTAATTTCATACAAAATAAATGTTATAAAATCCGATTTGTATGAAAATTAAAATAATTAAAATGAAGATATCAATTTTCTGACTTCACCATACTATTTATATGACCATGTTAACATGGGCTAGTGTCGGCTCATATACCCATTTACCTAACACCCTGTATAGTATATGTATTAAACATATATTATTATATAAATTTGCCGAATTTTCTCTAAACTCTACATTATTGTCTCTGAAAAACTAACAAGTCTCTCCTTCCTCTCCTATTATATTCAAAAACTAAAATTAGACCTAATAATGCTGCATTGAATTTATTCTGTAAATGCATTCAACGCTTTGTCCATACAGGTTGTATGACGGAGTGGCGCAGCGTGCGGCTCATACAATCACGTGATTCCCCGCCCATTACCGTTTTTAACAAAATTACTGTCGTCGCTTGCTGTCGTCTTGACTTGTCGTGAGCGGTGGGCATAATTTTTAATTACATTATTTTATTGTATTATTTGTCACGCAAAAAAAAAGCAAAAAATAATACGTGGCAATTTAATAATGTATTTGTCACATGAGTAACAATAAAATAAGTGGCTTGTTGTTAGCTAATTGAATACGTCACCTCACTTACAATTACTAAATCATATTATTAAAAAAACCTAGGTATGTATTATTAACCCAATAATGCTTTGTTAATGATTTCAGTACTTTCAGTAGATGAAAAAGGAAAAAAAATTGTTTGTAGTTGATGTTTTTTTAACACTTTATGTTGTTTGTTAAATCGTTTAGAATTTTAGAGCTTACAATGAATTGAAAAATAATTGATTGACGGGATTATTTATAAATTAATAAATTATGCATTGTAATTTGTATTTGTATAAGGTCGTTTACTACTCAATGCTAAGTCCAATCTTTTAAACTTTATTTTACAATGTTAACCGTTAATGGTTAACGCACGAAAAACATTATGTCATGTGACGTCATATTTCATGAATGTATAATTATTATATTATAATTAAGTACAATATTCATCAAATAGGATAATAGATATTAACCAAAGGTTATAAATTACTAGAATTTATTAAGTTCTAAATTCAAATAACGCACACAGACGAAAATCACTCCCGTATTCACAAACATTACTATGAGGTCTCACAGTGCGCGTGGA